CCGTTCTCCTCCAGTAGTGAATGTGAGATAACTTGACTCACATGTTGCACTGAGGTAACAGAAAGCTCCCCTGCTCCGCTGGTACTAAATGAGACACAGAAGGCCTTGACAGAAGTTTCCAATGAATTATGTTTATTTTCAGTGTGAATACATGAAAATATATGCTCTAATAACAAAATTTAAGGTCAGGGCTTGTGCAGCCTTTTGGGAAAATTTGATGGGTACCTGTTTTTGGATGTCTCACAGTTCTTTAGCTCTCTTTTCAACAGATAAGATCAAATTTACTAGAGATTATTATATAGAGCATAAAAGAAAATGTATTTTAAAGTTGACTTCTAGTTTATTTCCTGTAAATTTAAGAGTTTCCAGAGGTTTATGAGATAGCAACATTGTTATTTTCATATTTTCTTGTGTGGAAATGTAGTAAGCAATGTAGTCTGTAAATCATACTTGTAAAAATCAAAGCTAAGGCAGCTTGCATTTGTCAGCTAAGGTCTAAAAGCAATTGCATTAAAGAAAAGTAAATATGTTTTGAATGTTGAAGACAAAGTACAGTTTTCAAAAAAAGGCATCAGATCTTTTTACCGGGCCATGGTTAAGGATGTTAAAAGAATGATGCTGCAAAATATTAAGCTGTCACTTTACTGGAGCTCTATTTGTAGTGTGATTGGGTTCTATGTAATAGACCTTCCAATTTGTGTAGCCAGCAATACCTGCTTGTGTACCTCAAAGCACCAGAAAACCTAACTTGTGATTGATTCTGATGTGTATAAACTTTCCCTGTAGCTAAGCTGCATAGAAACACGTGAAGATTTTGTAGTTATGGTATCAGTAAAATAATACTGATAATGGTTAAATTTTAGAACAGAGTAAATCCTTTATTACAACCAGCTTGGAAAAATCAAATTTTCTATAAACCAACAATAACACATTCCATAACATTCCAGTCTAGCAAGTAGACATAAACCCAGGGAGGGGGAGATATTTCAGCATAAACAGTACTACTGCATGAAAACAAGAGCAAGGATATGAGGAATCTCTCTTCTGTTTCCATTCAGCCTTCCCAAACGTAAATAGTTCTGTGATATATTGCTACATAATAGATCTGATTGAGAGCTCCAGCTCTGTTTCTTGCCAAAATTCTAAATGAAGTTAAATAAATGTGCAATGTCAAAATGGCATTTTTGGCTGAAATACTTCTGTTGGCTCTATTAATAGACCTCACTACTTTCAGATTGGAGGAATAGTCAAGTTTATCTCTAGCTATGGTTTGAAAGATTTGTTTCTTTTTGGGATGTAGGATGGAAGTAAAATGATCTATTTTACTATGGGATTGTTAATTTACTTTTGGTTCTAACCAGGTAGTTTGTAGTTATTTTATAGAAGAAAATGCAACAAAGAAAGAGAAGGCATGTGCAAATTTAACTTTTAAAAGATAGTTGATAGATATTTAAGAATATCTACCAGATTAATCTTCAGTGCCTTAGTGGGTGATAAATAGGCTAGCTGAGTCTCTTTTTAAGTTATAATTCTCTTAAAGTGAATTTTACTTCAGTTGATGTCCTGAGTACTATCACTGGCATAATGAAATTCTGAAGATAAACTATGTATAATTTGAATTGCACTAGTAAAGATAGAGCTTCAGTAGCACAGGAATAGTATTAAAATAGTAAAACTAACAAAAGCTTAGAAGACATTAGTTCAGTTTTTTCCTTAAAATATATGGATGATAGCGTGGAAAAAAAAAAAAATTGAGAATGCACAAATATCCTTTGCAGAACCAGTGTGAGTAGAAAGTGTTTGTTAAGAGGGAAAGAAAAAGCAATGAAGAGATACTTAGTTAATAGCATGATTATTTTGGTAATTATTAAGGTGTTCTAAATACAGAACACTGCAGCTTTTTTGGAAATCAGTGTTAAATTCAGCTTTTGAGATTTACTTGGGACGTAGTTGAGAAAAACAGCTGCCCATAAAGAGCTCGCAGTGCCATTCAACTCCTGTGGGTATTAATCTGAACTGATCCAGATCTGCTTACAGGCAATTCTGACAGCTACGTCTATTCTTAAAGGGAATTGTGTCTTTACTAGGGAGTTAAGGCATGGCAAGGAAATCATATACATAAACTACAACAGAATAATTTCATGTTCATGTACATTATACTGGTCAGAGCATTAATTATTACATGAACATGCAGAAGAATCATATTATGCCTGTAGAAAAAATCAAAAATACCTAGAAAAATTTTGGATGATAATAAAATTGGTTTAACTGTTATGAAACTGAAGAGCAAAGAATCATATTTCACACCATACACGTTCATGCACTGTATTCTCTGATCAGCGTAAATATTGCAGAAGTTAACAAAAACCCATCACACATACAGATTTCCTACTCCTGTAACTGTCTGTGGGCAGGTGCTGTGGAGAATTAGGCTAGTCTCTGTTGTGGTTACTGCCTTTTTAGAGATGTTTCCTGAAGGAAATCTTAATTGTCATTGTGTTGCAGCTTGGATCTGCATAAGCATCAACACTGTCTGTCTGGGTAGTATGTTTGGCCACAGAGAGTTATTGCTATTACTGTTGAATAAATGAGCGTCTTATGAATTACCTCATTATCTGTTCAACAGGGCATAGGAAGGAAATTTCCTGAAAAAGCTAAATTGTCAAAAGACTAAATAATGTATGTTTGGGGTTTGGGTTGAGTTAGAGGGTGAGGTGAATGTTACTGAATGGTTTGTGGTTTGATTCCTATTTGAATTAAAACAGACTTTAGGAATCTTTTAAAAAATTAATTACCTCTCTTTAGATTTTGAAATTCTCTAGTGTTTGCCTTCTGTTAAAGGAACAGAGCACTAGTAGCATGTGAAATCATGCTATTTTGAGTCTGGCCAATTGTCTATTTTCCACATATACTATTTTCAGATTAGCTAGTCTAATATCTAATACTAGCATTTTGTATATAATACTTGAAACTATGGATGTGTGATGTGATATCTTGGATTTAATAGCAATAATAACCAAATATGAAATGGTGAAATGAAATACCAAAATATCTGTTTTTCTGAAGTTGCAGGCATTTATAATCAAGTTAATGTAGTGCCTTTCAGTTTAGCTTACAGTCTGTGTTTTTCTGTAATTAAGGAATAATTGTACAGATTCAGTTTGTTTTCTGCATTTCACTCCTTTTCATGTTTCTAATTAACTTTACTACTGGACTTACATGGGAACTAGCATATCCTCTCACAAATCTTAAATAGACAGAAGTAAGAGAGAGGTTTTCATTGTGGCATTTCTCCAATTTAAATACATATATGTCTATATATATGTGGTTATTCTTCTGTCCTTTTCTAGTAGCAGGAAGAGGAGGATAGTAGTTCTTCAGGAAAGGATCTGGTATTATGTGGTTAAAGGATGAATCAATAAAATACAATTGCAAAAATCCTCAGTCATCACTGCACTGTTTAGAATTCTGCATTTCAGGAAGAATGTGGGCCAGCTTGAAGGTGAACCAAATGAGAGTGGTCAGAGGCCTAGAAAATCTCTGTCTAGGATTTCAAGAAAGGGTTAATGTCAGAAAATAAAGGAGTTAAAACATTAAGCATGATGATGGAGTTTAAGTATGTAATAGTCTGTTCTTAATAGCTGTGGAAGAAGAGAAATGATTGTAAACAATTGGGTGGAAATATTCTGATGGGAAAGATAGTTAAACTTTGGAATAGTAGGATGAAGTTCTGTGACCTTTAGGAACAGATGACTGTCCTGAGGCACAGGGGTACTGTTGAGGGTCTTAAGGGTGCTTTGAATCCTAACTTACAACTTGGATGCAGAACATATTATTTAGCGTAAATGGTATTGTGTTATACATTTGGGTTAGCTAAATCTGTTGGCTCTAAGTATTTTACAAGTTAGATTCTGCAGTATGCATTTCTGCAGAGGGTTTTGCTCGTGATATGTTACAGTTTGATTGTTTTTCACCTGAAATGGCTGTACTTTTACTGGCTATTTTGAATACTGACTGAGCTTGTAATTGTCACAGGTACAGCAGGTAGGCAGTTGCTGGAGTAGGATTTTAGTGGTTTTTGTAATGTTGTCTGCCTGATGAATCAGAGTTCTTTCTCTTTACCTGCAAGGAAAATAAATAAAAATACAGTGATTGAAAAAAATGGATGCTTGTGTTTTTGTTTTAGCTTGTTTTTTGTTTGTGTTGTTTTTATTTTCTTTTTAATTATACCTTTACTCTAAATATATTTCAATTTTAATTAGAATATTCTTTTTATTCTACTTAGTAAATATAAGTATTTGTTGTAGTTGAAAACATAGTTTTTAAAGAAGCAATGTGGCAATGTGCACTTTTACAGTCAGTGCTTTTCTTCCATACTTTAAAATGTACTTGTTTTTTTCTGATCTGTTTCAGATGCACAATGTATCTAATACAGAATGAAATTCTCTATTTCATGCTAATTTTCCCACTTAGTATTTTTACCACATAACCCTGACTGATTGATTTCAAATACTGAAAGTCATGGCATTTCTTCATGTATGGTTTTGTTTTTAACCAGAAATGTGTTTGTTAGTATTTTACTAATGATATCTGCAACTTGGAGTCTATGTGAAAGCAACAATTTATCCTTTGCAAGAAAACTGGAAAACTTCAAGTATTTCTGAGGAAATTTCTAATATTGAATGTATTTTGTTAAGCGGGCAAGAGAAGACTGTAGAATCATTCGTGTTGTAAAGGACACACAACATCATTGAGTGTGACCATCACGTAACACTAGCAAGTCTTCCACTAAACTGTGCCCCTAGAGATGTTTGTTTCTGTGAGGGTTTCCTTTGCTGATTTAAAGCAAGTATTACATGTTGAGTGAATTCTACACAGCTAATTGAGACCATGTAAATTTGCTAACAAGTGACAGTGTTCATTATTAAATTACTAAAAATATTTCCTGTCTTTGTGTCCCAGAGATAAGAGATGATATTCCGATGCATGTCTTTTCACAGGACCTGTTGTTCAGTGTGTGCGCTCTCAATATCATCTCCACCATTGTCTGTGCTTTGGCAACAGCAATGTGTTGCATGCAGATGGTTTCTTCTGATCTTCTGCAAATGGTGAGTACGTTTCAGTGACAACAGAGAATGCTGTCCAACATAACATGTTTTCCCAGTCTGTATATACACATTTCTACCTATTCCTTGCTTATAAACTTAGGCCTACTTGTGTGTCTTTGCATGACACATGAATATGTGTACCTAGGTGTGTATTTTAACTGTGTACATCTCTATAAATAAAGTATATACATGTATGTAATATGAATAGCTGCTGCATTAGATGTGTATTACATTAGATATTACTATATTATATATATTATTATATATTCTATATTATATTAAAGAGCTAAATTCAGGATTTTGCCATTGGGAGTAAATAATTTTGGTTAATTTTGGCGTTAGTAACAATGTTTGGTTTATATATGCACATTACATTTTCTGTTGTATGTTCATTGTATTCAGTTTTCACACTGCCCAGAGCAATTACTTAGCTTTGAGATACTGTTTTTCAAGTATGAGAACTATGTAGTGTGAGAACTAAAAGTTCAGAAGTGGAATTTTTCATGGCACTGTGCCAATAACAATGTTTTCAGAAGGAAAACATGCTCGGTTCTGGAGTAGTATTTGTGTTTAAAACAAAAGGGAAAATGATCATTAGTCTTCTGCACAGTCAGCTGCATTGCAGGATGATGTCTTATTTTGCTTGGAAAAAAAGAGCTCTCCTGTCCCATCTAAGTGCTCTTCTTCTCAAGGTTTCAATTTAATGTTGAAACGTAAGTATTACTAACTTTAAATTAGTGTTGGCAGGCCGCATAAACTATTTAACCCATCTCTACAACAACTAATCTATGAAATAATCCTGTGTTTAGTATGAGACAGCAGACATGCAAACTAATGCTAGTCATTTGTAAATCTTGTATTTTAAAAGTCTGTGTGGCAAAAATACTGTCCCAACAAGATACTTGTTGGTACAGTCTGTGCAGCAGTGAGAAGTTGTGTAACCTGTCCCAACTGGTTAAATGAATAAATATATACAAATACATTCACTGTCATGGATTTCACTTGAGTTCTAAGTATGTGAGTTAGAGATATGGATGTCCTTTCTAGAGAAGTGTTCCAGTCACTGGGTTACAAACTCAGTTAAAATGCATCCTCAATCTGTGAGCTGGGGATTACTTCGTGTGTTAATGGGCATAACAAAGGGCCAGCAAAATCCGATGTGACATAAAAGCATATTTTCATTTAGCACTCTGTGTTCATAGTGTGTGTGCTTGCAGCGGCTTATAAGTAGTGTTTATTTAATAGCTGTCTTCTGGATGTCAAACAGCTGATTTTACTGTATTTTAAATCTTAAAGAACTTTCACCATTTGTAGGTATCTTTTTGTATAATTCTTTTTTTGTATATCTTTTTGTGCACTCCCACCCCATCAGTGTGTTTGCTGCAGGATGCCCTTGAGTAAAGATCCTGATCATAAAGTAACCTTTTTCACGTTGCACTGGTCATAGGGAGACAACTGATCACCACAGCTGGAAAGTTCTGTCTTTCTAGGGTGACAAGGTTAGCAGTGATCCAGAACTGGAATCATTTGTATTTAGGAAACCTTAACCTAGACTTAATTCTGTGGTTTTTCGTGGCATAAGAACAAGGAAATTGTGTAGATGATAATGAATCAAGAATAATATTAAAGGACATCTGACTTGCATGCACAAAATGGAATAACCTCGATAAGAATATATTTGAATACCTTAAAAGCACATTATTTTTTTTTCCACCACTTCTTTCTTCATTTCTTGCATAGAAGTTTCTTTTTACCACTAGGAAATGTTTTTGTTATGTCACTTTCTTTTCACTTCCCATATTTTGTGCCTCCAGCTTTCTGTCTACTTGCTCAGTTGTCTGTTCTGCCTCCCCACATCTACAGCTCTGTTGATGAGAATTTTCTTCCATCTCTGCAAAAGAAGAGAGATACATATTTCTTTCAGCTAAACCCCAGTCTTTTGTTTATCCTTAAGATTTTCCCTTTCTTTTTTTCAGGTTGCTAAGCCAGATTCCTACCAGGCCTAAGTGAGCGTAACTTCCCTGGGGCTACGCTGACTTAGACCAGCTGAACCTGAAGAATACTCTTTCTTTCACTATTTTCAATCTGTTGTCCTTCTGATTCCCTTTTTCTACACCCCCCAAAAAATCTCATTTACTGCTTTTTCTTTCTAGTAAATCCTTTTATCAGCAGGGTTTTATAATGCTGGAAAGTTTAAGATCTCAGAACAAGGAGATAATACCCCATTTGGAATATATGTTTTTGTTCTTTTACTCTATTCTTACTGTATTCAAGAGCTACATGGGCTCTGCTGTAGAAAGAGAAGCTGTAAAAGTGAAATTCTTAGTCAATAACACATGTAGTCTGGAAAATCCGAAGATATCATTAGATTATACAACCTTTAAACTTGCTGTCATCAGTTTTGTGGCTTGTGTACTGTGTTAGCATCCGTCTCAGTTAGAATGATGCATTTTTGCTGCTTATTCAGTCTTGAAATAATTTCTAGTTTTTCTCTGCTATCAAGCTATTCTGTGTGCATCATGTATTTTATTGCCTAGCAACATTGATCTTGTACATAATATACGTAGTTTCATGAATATCTGCGACAGGAATTCATGAGTATTTGCATCCTTGTATAACCCTTGCACACAATGAGTTCATGCAATGATTCATGCAAGCAAACTGACAGTATTTTATTGGGAATTGGTACCTCTGGATGTAGTGATCTTTTAGTAAAAATGCCCTGAAAACTATAACACAAACTGTCCATTAGTGCACACAAATGGAATTTTTCATTACATTTGAAACTTTTTGTTTAAAAATAATGTCACTGAACAAATATTGGCTTTCAAGTATTAAGGAAAAAAATACTAGTTCTTGTGGTATCTAGGCAGGTCCCTTCTCGGGCTGGGGTTTGAGATACATCAGTTTCTATATCTTCAGCCCTAGAGGCTGTACCCAGAGGTGTTAGGTTCCATAGGATTTAAGAAATGTGAGCAGAAATAATTGTGTTTCCAATTCCAAACCTTAAAGAAACGATTTCATTTCAATCTATTTTTTTCCTGCACTTTTAAAACTGAATGATCTATCACACATATCCTTACTCTCTAATTACTTTGAAGATAAAGTTCAAGATGCAAGTGAGGCAACAAAAAAATAGAGAGAATGAATATAGGAAGTCAGGTGCCTTGGAAAATTGTTTAATTATTATGTCCTATGATACATTATATTCCGTAATAATGTGACTGATTTTATGTAAGCTGTCAGTAACACCCATCTTTTTCTTTGTATTTAATTCAATAGGGACTTAAAAGATACCTGGCATTTTTAGTCAGTGCTCTTCTAAATATTATTAAACTCATTTTTTATACTGATTTTAATATATACAATAATTCATTAATTTATGCCAATCTTACTCTTCTGCTAGTGATAGCTTCCTGGTAAGAAATGTGCTTCAGCATGTGATTCTTCTCTAAAAGCTATCCTGAGGACCTAGTCCAAGAGGCAGATATGACTGCAAATCCTGTTTTTGTATATGATTAGATGTCCTAAATAGCAGCTGAATCTTTGATGCAGTTATCTGGAGACAGACAGCTAAAAATAAGCTTTTCTGCTTTTCTTTGTTTGCTTGTGAGTTTCTCCTCTCTTCGTATTATATATAAACTTTGTAGCTATGTCAGGATTTACAAAAGTTCTCTTTAATCTTGATTGGCACGTGTTATTAATTGTCATCATAGTAAATGATGAAGCATTCTATCTGACAGTCCTGAAATCTGAACTATGGTGTTCCAGCAGTTAGCATCCATTACACTTCTCAAAAGCACATCCTAGAAGAGGCAAACTGCTGTTAAAATGTGTGAGCTCATTTGGGACATGACATGTAGGAGTCCTGGCCAACAAAATGCCAGTGGAAGAGTACCGAAGTCCTGACATTGTTTGACTGTCAGAATTTCACCTGCTACATGGAGACCTCAAGCGTGTCCCCAGAACTTCCATTACTAAATATTGAAGTTTCTCTGAGAGAAACTGAGCAGACTAGGGAGCTTTCAGTGCAATTAAAAGACTAAAGAAGACATAACAGTTTTGGATATCAGAGTTGTGATACCAGTATATGCAAGATTCTTATTCAGGGCTTGAATTTCTTCATTATCTTCTGATTCTGTTATTGTGTCTATCCATGTTAGTACTCTGTTGTGTACTAACAGGTGGTGTTGGAAGCTTCTCTTCAGGCCCTTCATGTCATTATAGCTTGACAAGTGTTCTGTGCTCAGAACTGCCTGTCTCTTATCAGTTCATAATATAGCAATTACAATCTCTTAAAAATAATTGAAATTGCATAACTAATACGGGAATGATAATACCAGTAAGAGGAGCTGTATTGTGCAGGCAGCTTTGGTGGGACTCCTGTTTTTCAGGTCTGGTAATAATATGCTTTTTTCAATGACATCTCTCTTAGGAATATTGCAAACTATTTTTCTTGCATTACATTTTAGTTTCCTCTAGTTCTTACTTTTGTATTCACAAAAGTAGAAGCCTTGAGATTGTTGTCAGAAACCATGTTGAAATTTGCTGTATGCCAAAAGCCAAAATAAATCCTAACTACTCGCCAATCACCAATAATAAAAGGAAAAATAACTGTTTCTTTGAGCACCTGCTCCCGTTTGTTAGTGTATTTCATAGCATTGTTGGCAACAGTACAACCTAACTCAATTTTCACAAGTATTATTACATGCAAGCTTGAAAAAGGGAATGATGTGGGGTGTAGTGATTGATTTGAACTGCAGAAATCTAAATTGTGCCAGTAAGATCTTATCCTGAAAGAAAAAAGAAAAAAAAAGCTGAAAACGAGAAAGGTTAAAAAAAAAAACATTTTTTTTCTTGTTGCTGTTGTTATTTTGGTGGGGTTTTTTGTTTTGTTTTTGTTTTAATACATGCAATTCAGTTTCTGCAATATTTCAGATGAACTATTCAGCACAAGACCAGGTGAGCTGTTGTGGGGTTTGAGCTTTTGTTACAGGACA